CCTGTTATGTCAGTATTTAAAGATCAGTTTGTTTGAAAGCAATTTTATTTTATTTTTTTTTCACCACAGTAACGATGAATACAGCACAGTTTCTCAATTTGCTTCAAAAAAAAAAAAAACTTGTAAGTAACGGCTCACCCTCAAAAGATATAGCACTTTTCATCTACTGAAATCTAGCTGCTAATTCTAGCTAGAGACCTTTTTCAGAGCCAGAAATGTTCTAATTCAAGCTTTACTGTCATATTTTTTTGAAACAGATGATAAAGCGTAAGCACTAAAACCTCTTTAGTCAAAAACAGGTTTGATTACAAGCGACAAGCTTGGCTACGCGGACTAGAAAAGTACGTACTGTGGCAGTAAGGCTTTTGTAGCGTACGTAAACGGCCAGTTTATCGCGCAGTTGTGTATTTCACAATTTTCCTTGTTACTGTAATATCTCGTTCAGGTGAAGCTTCATCTGCGACTAGAATCCATAAAACGCATCTGCACCATACTGACCTACCGGAAATGTTATTATTCTCTTCTCAATTTCTCATTACAGCAGCATCATTTTATCAACTCTGTCGACCTTAAACAGCATCCACAACAATACCTACCGCATTCCTTTACTTGTTTTAAGCGTTATGGTAGAAGAGGATTTTAAAAAAGCGGTCAAGGCAAAAGTTTTGAAAAAAGTTTCCTCCTCAGTTTCATTCGTCTTTATCTCCCATTCAATGGAATTGAGAAACCTTAGAGAACCTGTCTTATAGGCGTTCAAAACAGGCGTTTTGTTCAAACGTTGTAGCAGTAATCTTTTCTGATGAAAGCCCTCCTTTTTCCTATTAAAGTGCATAATGTGCCAATAATATTTATGAAGTTATGACAAAACTTTATTAGTTTCTCACTTCAGCAATTGAAAAGCTCCTGCGACTGTGAAGGTAACATTTTATTGTTTCAAATCTTCTATAGCGAGGTATGATTTAAGAAGAACTGCCAAGCCTTCAAGACGTCTTAACTGCAAATAAAACCTAGAAAATTTTAACAGCCGAATTGGTTGGCGGAGGAGTCGTTTTCCCGATTGAGCACTTCTATTTTGCAATTTGAGTCTTTGTGCCTACCGAACAATAACAAACCAGTAGAATTATTCTTTACAAACTACCAGCAAAACGTCAACAGAAATAAACGCATCACTATTGTTTGCAAACGGAGACCAAACTACCATACTCATTCTTCCCTACCTATTCGGTACTTAACAATCTTTGATATTGCTTTAAATCGTTCTGGAGTTCCAAAGTTAGCACCTCTATCAGTGCTGTACCATAAGCTTCTGTTAAAGGTTCAAGCAGCGACATAGACGGCTACTTCTGATGAGATGATGATCATCAATGAATGAAAAAACAATATTTGATTTGATTCCATTTTATGTGGTGAAACAGAAATGGTATATCAACTACAGAAAGTAGGTGCCACAGATGGAAACTGGACTAAAGCTGAAAAGAAAAAAAACTTGGTTAACTCCCGTAACCTACAGTATCCATAAAAAAGATCCCTATAATCGTATTTCAGGTAAGGATTTTGTAAAAGGTTTGAAGCTAGAACTGAAATGAAATTTTCGTTTTTTAAAAAAAAAAATTAAAACCGAAATGAAACAAATGCACGTATAAAAGAAGTAAACAGTCTGTTAAGACCCATTTAAAATGCAAATGCTCCTTACATTTGCAAAATATATCCCGGGAAAAGTTCGCTTTGTTGAAAACGTATTTGCAGTTCTGATAAAATAAGTTTCGCTGAACTTCCGGCCCTAATTCAGATCAAATTTTTATTCTACTTATACACTCTATAATTGAACTTTAAATTTTTGCATCTAGTTTTGTAACACTGAATTTATGCATTCATTTTACATATATTTGGCTGACGCTTTTTCAAGAAAAAATTTTACTCAAATATTTCGTTGAAGACATTTTAGCAGGTTGAAACATCAACTGCTCCGATATATCAAATGAATAGAACTTTCAGCGGTGAACAATTAGAAAGCTACTTCAGTCCAGCACCTCCTTGAAACCCCCCACCACCTCAGAAATCTTTGCAAAATTGTACTAAACTTCACCACGAAATTAAAATTCACAGCTACTTAGCCGATGAACAACTTTTTTAAACTACGTGCTATGAACATCAACAGCTCTTCTTTAAAAATAAAATACTGTGGGCCATCTCCCAATACTGGCCATCAAAATACTGTAGAAGACGAAAAAAATGTAGTTATTGAGCAAGCCTAGAAGTACTTGGTTTACTGAACACCTCTTTAATTCTTAATTACGACATCATGACAACATTTTTCAACTAACCCCAACGCATCTTTGGATTGGGCAACATTTACCATATATTTACAAGATATATGACAGCACCAAAGCAGCACCCTATAACAGGTGGAAAATACAGTAATTACAATGCGAAGAAACGATGTAGACATCATCACACAGACCGAGATCTAAGCTTTCTTTTAAAAATAACAAATATTAAGTAACGGTGAAAATACAAAAAAACTTGGAACATAAGAAAGTTTTTACGAGTTACTTAATAAGACTTTTTTTCCAAACACAACACTGGGCACTTGAAAAAAAACTGTGAAATAATACAACAAAAACCACTTCATTTTTTGAAGCATTTTTAATCAGTAATACCTGTAATGTAGGCAGGGTGACAAAAAGACCAAGAATGACTTATGACAATCAAAAAAAATAAACATTATGACTATGCTCATTGCAAACAAAACAATTTTTAGTTCAACTGTTAACCAGGAATCTGTTTTTAAATCAAAAACCACATTAACAACACCTAGCTAACACTAGTCTTTCATCGTCATATTCTTCATACATGTAACTATTCTGAAAGAGCAATCTAGTCTTTAGAAAAGTTATAAATACTGTCAAATATGATAAACTGAAAGCTATGAAACTAATAGAAGACTGTTTTGTATCGAGGAGATAGTAGAATCCGCCGACTTCATTTTTGACTACTACCATTAAAAGCGAAAATTTACATTCAAAATTCGGAAGACATTGTCTTGAAGCCAAAAGAACCCGAAGGAATGGTGTAAAAGATTTCTACCGCTGACGATATGTGGGACGCGAATACTGCCTGTACAAGTTGAAAAATATAGCAATAAATACAACGAAAAGTCCAAAAATTCCGAGTGGTGTTGCAGGATGACTATAAATGTACATTGAATTGGCAATGGAAAAAATTTGTCGAAGCGTCATTATAACGGCGAAAACTACTGGGCCAAATCTTTCCAAAGTCATATATATCACAACCTAAAAAAAAAGGCAATTACAACTAAAATACAGTTCTCTCTAAGTACCACTGTATAACCAAATTAAAAAATGTTGTGAAAACCACCTTCAGTAATTCATCAACAGTGATTCATACTTCAAAAGTCAGAGTTCAATTGTATATAATCATTGAAATAAAACCTTTCATGTAGTGTTTAACTCTTTCATACCTGCCCAAAAGCTCCACAAAGCGACAGTAAAAAAACATCACGAGCGACGTCTTCAAATTTCATTACAAAATCAAATGAAGACACAAGTTTGCCCTCCTCAGCAAGCGAAACGAGACAGAGCACCAAACTAAACGCGTTCACACCAAACATCATCTTAAAGAAGACAATTCCCAGTTAGATATTAAAAAAACAAAAAAGAAGCAAAATAATACAGTTCAAAAAATTTCATGAAAAAGAACACAGTGATTTTAAATTCGCATACCTGATACTTGGAAACCCTTGGCCGCGTATCAAACAACTTCTTCTGCCAATTCAAAGTAAAACCGTCAAACAAAAGATAACCAATCATTAAAATTACTCCAGAGCAAGAAGTCATACGATCTAAAAAGCCAAATAATCTCAAAATAAATAAACTTCTTCAATTTTTGTCATCATCCTCAATATAAGAACGGAAAAAGTCATACCTTCAGTAACAGCGTTCCGTTTGTTTTCTAGAAAAAATAACGAAGCCCCTATTGCCAAAAAAATAGCAGAAATACACTGCGCAAGACTGTAGCGTTCTCCACGAACTATAAATCCCATTACCATCGTAGGCAAGATTTTAGACGCTTTACAAACTGTCTGCAAAAAATAATTGTGCATTTATCATCGAACAAAATCAGAATATAAATGAGCCAAATGCGTAGTTGCAAATGTCGTTCATCCTGAAAAAATTGCTTCACAATTAACAGAAGACGAACCTGTGTTGGGAAAGATACATACTTCAGTGCTTCATATTGGCACCAGGAAGATAAGGTGTTGGAAAAAGAAGTATATCCATGTTTGTATAACGGCGGCACATGTATCGGTTCCCTTAAATTTCCAAATATATAAATCGTTTTGTAAACTGAAAATAATATCTATGACAAATCTGTAAGTGCCAACCTTTTCCAATTAGCGTGCAGAACAACTATACTAAGAACTAATGCAAAAACGCGATTCATCAGCACCAAAAATTGCGCTTCAGTAAATCTTCCAACTTTGTTCTGATCTTCAAAGCTTATATATTCCTAAAAATAACCTAATAATTAATATAAAGACAAGTAGTGTCCGATAAAACGATTGAAATATAATATCAAGGTGATCAAAAAAACCACTTACCTGTGTCATTAACCTTTCTTGTAAAAAGCCCATTGGAATCAAAGTAAGTTGAATACCCAAAAAATAGAGTATAAAGAAAACGCAATCGTAAAAGAGCTTTTTTGGAGCTGATTTGCACAAATCATCGCCCAACTCCACATCTGTGGGCAGTAGACGGTACTCTGGAAGACCAATTGAAAACCTTTTAGCGAACTGCCAAAGAATGTCTGTCGGAAGACCATTAGTGACACCTGAAAAACTGAAGATTGAAATTCAAAACTTTGAGAGCCCTGACGATTGTTAGCTAAAACTGGAATGAACCTTAAAGTATAACAGATATTATCCTTTCCCACCTCTAGACAAATGAGCTAGCGAGAACACTTATGGATTACACAATATTTATCTGTCAATTTCTGACAATTTTCAGAGAATAACATTTTAAATTAAGTCCAGTTCTAATAGAAAAATAAACATCACTCAATAAAGCAGATC